ACTGACCTATATATACTGCTAATGAATATGATGTATTTCCTTCTTTGTGTACGAACCTCTGTCCTGCGTGGCAGTGAACAGTGGCATTACCCACATGAATCTGACCTATATATAGTGTCAATGAATATGATGCATTCTTTGTGTACGAACCTCTGTCCTGTATGGCAGTGAAAAGTGACATTACCCACATGAATCTGACCGACGTATATGTATGTATGTGTGCGTGTGTGTATGTACATGTACATGTATATGTGTATGTATATATGTATATGTATGTATATGTGTGTGTGTGTGTGTGTGTTTACATATATGTATATGTACTGTCAATTAATATGATGCAACTCTTTGCGTACGAACCTCTGTCCTGCATGGCAGTGAACAGTGACATTACCCATATGAATCTGACCTCTATACATTTATAGCTGTTAATGAATATGATGTATTCCTTTGTGTATGAACCTCTGTCCTGCGTGGCAGTGAGAAGTGATACCACCCTCAGTGTCAAGACCGGACTGAATTACTCAGAATAGGCAAACTGTACTACAAGCTCTGCCAATAAATTTGTTAAACTAAAAAAATCCGTCTGTCTGTTTGTCTGTCTGTCTCTCCCAGAGTGCATGAGACAGACAGACAGAAAGACAGACAGACAAGTAAACATAGAGTGTTAGAGAGTCTCACTTTCTGTTTACTTGCCTGTCTGTCTATCATCCTGTCTCTCTCCTACTCACTCTCTGTCTGTCTCCCACTCTCTCTGTCTCTCTAAATAAACTAAAAATTACTAAAACAACGTCATCACTGCTACCATTACCTCCACAACCACCACCATCACCACCACCACATCCCTCCTACCCAACCACAACCCCCACATCCCTCCTACCCAACCACAACCCCCACTTCCCTCCTACCCAACCACCTCCCCCCCCCTCCCTCAAACCAAACTAACAACCATCTTTCAGTCTTTACCCGAGTGACATTCTATTAAGACTCAAACAAATTTTTTTCCCCGTCTCTCCTTTTCGCTTGAGAGATTCCGTCATCAGAGAGTCTTCTATTTTCCTGAGACTTGATGATTCATGACATTCTGAGGGACGAGGCTGGACAAGGGTACGTGTGGGGGTGGGCAAGAGCTCATGTTTTATTCAGTATGGACAGTTATCGGAGTTGACTGTGGGAGGGCAAGGTGTGTGGGAGGGCACGGTGGGTGGGAGGGCAAGGAGTGTGGGAGGGACAGGTATGTGAGAGGGTGGGTGGGAAGGTAAGGTGCGTGGGTGATGTGCTGGAGAGAGAGAGAGAGAGAGAGAGAGAGAGAGAGAGAGAGAGACACAAAACACCGAATACCCCCCAAAACAATCTACAACTTCACCTCTTACTTACAAATTTAATAAATATACCCAAATATACTTAAATATACAACCTCTTACTTTCCTATATAACTAAAAACGACCACTAAGAAGACAAAATTAATTCAAGATCTATAAAATTTTACACTGTCGATCCGGATTCCACACTCAGAAACGGGGAACACATGAATCCGTTTCTAAATCCAGATTGAAAAAAAACGCTCTCGAAAGCAATTAACCTAATTTAAGCTTTTAATTATTTCGACGCTGAGGTAAATAATATCCGGTAATGTGTTTTGGTTATTTTTTTCTAGTCACTGATGGAAAACAAATGAAAGTGCCATTGTTTATCAGGAGGGGCGATTTTTTTTTTTTGTGTCGTGTTTTTTTTTTTTTTTGTCTAATTTAATGGGAGTAAAGTCAATTGTGGTAATGAATATATAAATAATGTTAGTTTTTCTATGTATGTATGGATGTATGTATATATTTATGTATATATGTATGTATGTTGCGTCACTATTTTCACACAGCTAAAAATAAGTTGATTCAATAACTGGTCATTAATAGGAAAAAATAGTTCGTATTAATATTTTATTGTCACGTATGAATGTTTTATTTGTACTCAATTGTTAAAAACAGCAACAACAACTGAACAACTATCACACACACACACACACACACACACACACACACACACACACACACACACATGATAAATTTGAAGTGGAATAAAGAATAAAAGAGATAGCTGGAAAAACATAGAAAGACGTGGAGGGTGTGGAGACAAAATTAGATAATTATGGACAGATGACAAGGTGGATAAAGCTAGATAGATAGATAAGAGACATATATATAGAGAGAGGGGGAGAGAGAGAGCAAGAGAGAGAGAGAGAGAGAGAGAGAGAGAGAGAGAGAGAGAGAGAGAGAGAGAGAGAGAGAGAGAGAGAGAGAGAGAGAGAGAGAGCAACACACAAATCATCCCAAGTAATTCTATAACCACCACCAGGTAAACACAACACAGCACAGTGAGTGACGCTCCAGTGTATCTCAACCGGTGGGGCGAGAAGGTGTAGGTCAAGGAGGGACACAGGTATACAAATAACAATTACGAATCCCGAAAAAAAAAATAAAATAAAAAAATATGTCGTTGCTTACATCATCGCTCAACTTATTTCACAACGTGTGGATAAATTAGAGATTAAATTTAATTAATATTTACCCACTTTAAAGATAATCCTCTGTTATCATTTAGTCTGAGAGGAAAGTAATGTTAATCAAGGTAGAATTTAATCAGGTATCTGTATTTGGATTCCTTCAGGGTTAAAGTGATGACAGAATATAAAATACCTAATTAAATATCTCTACTGCCCCATTCCCTCTACGTATCTCTGTGAGGAAGTCTCTCTCGCATGGCTGTAAACACGAAGGAAAACAAATCGTCTTCAACTCGAGGCAATTCTTCAGGTTGGTGGTATGTTGGCCAGTGAACCACGACCACAGGCTTCGCTCTAATGATCTGTTACGTCACTGTCATCTGTCAATGTCTTGCTCTTTCCGTGTCACTGTTTTATACCGTCACAGCCACTTCGTCATGTCCCAGTGCCAGAGGAGAAACAGTGCCAGAATGCAGACAGTGCAGAGTAGAAACAAGTGCCACTAATAACTAAATCATCATCTCATTTTTCTTATCCAATTTAGCAAGACAAATTATTCTTAACAAAATCAATACAACTTATAAATTCCTTAACGTTTTCCATCATTGTTTAAACATAATACTAAACTCTATGTAGACGTTCATGTATAATCCTTGGAAAAAGTGGGGTTTTGTTTTATCATGGGGGAGGCAGGGTTTTATCATGGGGGAGGCAGTGTTTTATCATGGGGGAGGCAGGGTTTTATCATGGGGGAAACAGGGTTTTATCATGGGGGAAACAGGGTTTTATCATGGGGGAGGCAGTGTTTTATCATGGGGAGACAGGGTTTTATCATGGGGAGGCAGGGTTTTTATCATGGAGGGAGGCAATGTTTTATCATGGGGGAGACAGGGTTTTTATCATGGGGAGGCAGTGTTTTATCATGGGGAGACAGGGTTTATCATGGGGGAGGCAGGGTTTATCATGGGGGAGGCAGGGTTTTATCATGGGTGAACCAGAGATTTTGACAAGATACCGGTGAAGTTGGTGTCACGTAAATGGAAAAGTTGAGAACCACTGCATTATCTTTAATGTAATCTCTCTTCTTCTATTCCCCTTTTTTCTTCATCCCCTCTCTCTCTTCTTCACACTTCTCATTCTCATCATTTTTCTCATCCCATCTTCATAAATCTTTCTCTATTTATCCTCTTCTCCTCTCTCTCTCTCTCTCTCTCATCCCCCCTTCTCATTTCCATCTCCTCCCCTCTCTCTCTCTCTCTCTCTCTCTCTCTCTCGTCCTTACGTTCTCCAAAAATCACCCGTTCTCCAGGACAATATATTCACACTCTCAGAGTAAAGTTTTTTTCCTGTGTGTATGTCTGTGAACTCTTAGGTAAAGATAGACTGGTGACAAAGAGCTTGGAGAAAGGGGAAGAGGAGGAAGATGAGGGAAGAAAGAGGAAGAAAAGAGGTAGATGAGAGAAAAAAAGATGAGGGGACAAAGAGTAGTGCTGAGAGGGAAGAAAGGGGAGAAAGATGAGGGAAGAAAAGGGAGAAAGAGAGGGTAAGTCAGAGGAAAGGGACATGGAGGAGGGAAGAAAGAGGATGAAGATGAGGGAAGAAAAGAGGAAAAAAGAGGAAGTAGATGAGGAAGGTGACCTAACCTAATTTTACTATCCTATCCTAACCTCCCCTTTCCCTCTTTTCCCTCACTCAAATAATGGGAAGGGAAGGGAACAGAGAGTAACAAACAGAACCCAAATATACTGTACACATGAAGCCAAAATTCCCTGGAAAACCTGACCATATCTGACATATATTCTTGAATCATATAATAAACTTAACTTCTCAATAGTAAACTCTAAAATTATGTTAACAAATACCAATAACATTAACAAACAAAAAAATATATAACTATTTCTCTTGACAAATAACAACAACATGAACAAGCAAACAAAATCTATAACTATTTCTCTTGACAAATAACAACAACAACATTAACAAACAAATAAAATTCTATTATACAACTAAAACTAAAAAAAAAAAACATAAAAATCCGTACAAATTGAGGTTAAAATCCCACTTGTTTACCAAAGTGTCTAGGAAATTCTGTCAACAATCTGAACGCGTGTGAAGGAATTGTCGGAGAGGGAATGATGGAACGGTACTGTATTGTGTCTTGTTGATGGTAAACAAAAACAAAACAAAAGAGTTAGAGGGAGACTGGAAAGGGAAAGTGACGGAAAAAGGATTGGGTGTGTGATATAAGTAAGTGCAGTAAGAGCTGTATGCAGGAGTTGCTTTATAAGATATTTGTGGAGTGATAATACAAATAATATTAATTTATACTTTATTTTTAGTTTACACAAAAACATAAACAAATAAATAAAACAACGGGGATTAGTCATCACTTTTGTTTTATAGCTGTTTTCAACCGGCGAGCCTTGACCATGGCCCGGCCCTGTTGGGCAGCAGCTTTACGGGCTTCTGCCACTCTGTTTGGTGCGTGCTCAGCCTTTGATTTTAGATTACCTTGGGCCCATGGGACCAAGGTATTCTTGGCCTGGTGAGTTGGTTTATTGGCCCAGGGCTTTTGGACAGCAGCTCTACAGGGCACTACCCGGGGAGCTTTCCCTCCGGTGACAGCCTGGGGAGCTTCCTCTTTGGTGACCGCCTGGGGAGTGTCCCTCTCGGCGATGGCCTGGTGAGCGTCCCATTCGGCGACCTTCTGGGGAGCGTCCCCTTCGGTGACCGCCTGGGGAGCGTCCCCTTCGGTGACCGCCTGGGAAGCGTCCCCTTCGGTGACCTCCTGGGGAGCGTCCCCCTCGGCGATGGCCTGGGGGGCGTCCCCTTCGGTGACCACCTGGGGAGATTCCCCCTCGGCGATAGCCGGGGGGGCGTCCCCTTCGGTGACTTCCTGGGGAGCATCCCCTTCGGTGACCGCCTTGGGAACGTACTCTTCGGCGACCACCTGGGGAACGTCCTTTTCGGCGACCACCTGGGGAGCATCCTCTTCGGCTACCGCCTGGGGGACGTCCCCTTCGGCGACGGCCTGAGAGGCGTCTCCTTCGGCGACGGCCTGGGAGGCGTCTCCTTCGGCGACGGCCTGGAGGGCGTCCCGTTCGGCGACCTGTGGGGCTTCCCCTTCGGCGACGGCCTGGGAAGCGTCCCCTTCGGCGACGGCCTGGGGAGCGTCCTATTCGGCGACGGCCTGGAGAGCGTCCCCTTCGGCGACGGCCTGGGGAGCGTCCCCTTCGGCGACGGCCTGGGGAGCGTCCCCTTCGGCGACGGCCTGGGGAGCGTCCCCTTTGGCGACGGCCTGGGAAGCGTCCCCTTCGGCGACGGCCTGGGGAGCGTCCCATTCGGCGACGGCCTGGAGAGCGTCCCCTTCGGCGACGGCCTGGGGAGCGTCCCATTCGGCGACGGCCTGGAGAGCGTCCCCTTCGGCGACGGCCTGGGGAGCGTCCCCTTGGGCGACGGCCTGGGTAGCGTCCCCTTCAGCGACGGCCTGGGGAGCGTCCTCTTCGGCGACAGCCTGAGGAGCGTCCTCTTCGGCGACGGCCTGGAGAGCGTCCTCTTCGGCGACGGCCTGGGGAGCGTCCTCTTCGGCGACGGCCTGGGGAGAGTCACCTTCGGCGACGGCCTGGGGAGCGTCCTCTTCGGCGACGGCCTGGGGAACGTCCCCTTCGGCGACGAGCTGGGGAGTGTCCTCTTCGGCGACGGCCTGGGGAGCATCCCCTTCGGCGACCACCTGGGAAGCGTCCCTTTCGGCGACCGCGTGGGGAGCGTCCCCTTTGGTGACCACCATGGGAGCGTCATCTACATGGGGGCAGGGGGCCAGGCGCTTGGCGATACTCGCCAGCGAGTTAGCACAAAAATTGTGTAACTTTTTCAACGTTTCTGTATTAAACAAGTCTTTTGTAAAGAATATTTTGAAGTCGAACAACTCCAATGGAGGATACACGACATATTCAAATTTATCATAACCTTTCTTAGTTTGTTTTCCGCACAGGGCGGAAAAATAATACATTACGCCATTGTCTGGGATATATTTTAGCTTGCTTACCTTCTATCGGAGGTAGACGCATGCTTCCACAATGGTTCTATTGTGGTTTCTGAGGACTTCCAAATCTTTTATTTTATCCAACACAAAGTTTGAGGTTTGTGTTGGGGGGTATCTCGACACTAACACCGAAGCCCACTATTTTGATAGCACTTATATTTTTGTGCGCCTCAGCTAACTCGTCGTCCATGCGACTGAGTTGGCTAACGGATTCTTGTAAAAATCTTTTGTGTATATCAACCATTTTGTACAATAAAATTAAGTTTTATAGAAATATGATACAGGCACCCGAGGTGCCACAGGCACCTCAGGCATCTGTGAATAAATGTAGTAAGAGCCTCCCAATTACTACAGAGCTAAGTGATGCTATGAACTGTGTAGTGATGATGTGAACTATAGTGATGATGTGTCATGATGCTATGAACTGTGGAGTTATGTGTCGTGATTTATGTGTAGTGAGGAAGTAAACTTAGTAATGATATGCTGTTATGCTATGAACTGTGTAGTGATGATGTGAACTAAAGAAATGATGTGTCATGATGCTATGAACTGTGTAGTGATGACGTGAACTATAGTGATGATGTGTCATGATGCAATGAACTGTGGAGTGAGGATGTGAACTATAGTGATGATGTGTCATGATGCTATGAACTGTGTAGTGATGATGTGAACTATAGTGATGATGTGTCATGATGCTATGAACTGTGTAGTGATGATGTGAACTATAGTGATGATGTGTCATGCTATGAATTGTGTAGTGATGAGGTGAACTATAGTGATGATGTGTCATGATGCTATGAACTGTGTAGTGATGATGTGAACAATGTGTCAGGATGCTATGAATTGTGTAGTGATGATGTGAACTATAGTGATGATGTGTCATGATGCTATGAACTGTGTATTGATGATGTGAACTGTAGTGATGATGTGTCATGATGCTATGAACTGTGTAGAGATGATGTGAACTATAGTGATGATGTGTCATGCTATGAATTGTGTAGTGATGATGTGAACTATAGTGATGATGTGTCATGCTATGAATTGTGTAGTGATGAGGTGAACTATAGTGATGATGTGTCATGATGCTATGAACTGTGTAGTGATGATGTGAACAATGTGTCAGGTTGCTATGAATTGTGTAGTGATGATGTGAACTATAGTGATGATGTGCCATGATGCTATGAACTGTGTAGTGTTGATGTGAACTATAATGATGATGTGTCATGATGCTATGAACTGTGTAGTGATGATGTGAACTATAGTGATGATGTGTCATGATGCTAAGAACTGTGCAGTGTTGATGTGAACTATAGTGATGATGTGTCATGATGCTAAGAACTGTGTAGTAATGATGAGAACTAAAATGATGTGTCTTGATGCTATAAATTGTGTAGTGATGATGTGAACTTTAGGGATGACGTGTCTTGATGCTATGAACTGTGTAATGATGATGTGAACTATATAGTAATAATGTGTCTTTATGCTATAAACTATGCAGTGATGATGTGTCATGATGCAATGAACTATGTAGTGATGATGTGAACGATAATGATGATGTGTCTTGATGCTTTGAACTTTTTAGTGGTGATGTGAAGTATAGTGATGTGTAATGATGTTATGAACTGTGTAGTTGTAAAGTGAACTATAGTGATGATATGGCATGATGCTATGAACTGTGTAGTGACTATGTAAACTTTAGTGATGATGTGTAGTTACGATATGAATGCCAGGACAGCAAGACAGAAAAGCAGGGCTAGTGTTTTGGGTGTGAGAGAGTTGGGCTATTTTAAAGTGTAATTTATACCCAGGTAATACCAGTCCTGTATATATGTGATATAAGTAAGTGCAGTAAGAGCTACATGCAGAAGTTGCTTTATAAGTTATTTGTGGAGTAATAATATAAATAATATTAATTTATACTTTATTTTTAGTTTAAACAAAAACAAACAAATAAATAAAACAATGGGGATTAGTCATCACTTTTGTTTTACAGCTGTTTTCAACCGGCGAGCCTTGACCATGGCCCGGGCCTGTTGGGCAGCAGCTTTACGGGCTTCTGCCACTCTGTTTGGTGCGTGCTCAGCCTTTGATTTTAGATTACCTTGGGCCCCTGGGACCAAGGTAATCTTGGCCTGGTGAGTTGGTTTATTGGCCCGGGCCTGTTGGGCAGCAGCTTTACGGGCTTCTGCCACTCTGTTTGGTGCGTGCTCAGCCTTTGATTTTAGATTACCTTGGGCCCCTGGGACCATGGTATTCTTGGCCTGGTGAGTTGGTTTATTGGCCCGGGGCTTTTGGACAGCAGCTCTACGGGGCACTACCCGGGGAGCTTTCCCTCCGGTGACAGCCTGGGGAGCTTCCTCTTTGGTGACCGCCTGGGGAGCGTCCCTTTCGGTGACCGCCTGGGGAGCGTCCCCTTCGGTGACCTCCTGGGTAGCGTCCCCTTCGGTGACCGCCTGGGGAGCGTCCCCTTCGGTGACCGCCTGGGGAGTGTCCCCTTCGTTGACCGCCTGGGATGCGTCCCCTTCGGTGACCGCCTGGGGAGCGTTCCCTTCGGTGACCGCCTGGGTAGCGTCCCCTTCGGTGACCGCCTGGGGAGCGTCCCCTTCGGTGACCGCCTGGGGAGCGTCCACTTCGGTGACCTCCTGGGGAGCGTCCCCTTCGGTGACCTCCTGGGGAGCGCCCACTTCGGTGACCTCCTGGGGAGCGTCCCCTTCGGTGACCTCCTGGGGAGCGTCCCCTTCGGTGACCTCCTGGGGCGTCCGCCCAGGTGACCGCAGGAGCGTCCGCTTGGTGACCTCCCTGCGGGGCGTCCCTTCAAGGCCTCCCTGGGAACGTCCGCTTCAGTGACCTCCTGGGAGCAATCCGCCAGGCCAGGCCTCCTGCAGGGGCAATCCTTCCAGTGAACCTCCCTGGGGGTGTCGCTTCGACCTCTGGGGCATCCTTCGGTGACCTCCTGGGGCATTCCACTGGTGACCCTCCTGGGAGTGACGTCCGCTGGTGACCTCCTGGGGCCTTCGGTGACCTCCTGGGGAGCGTCCCCTTCGGTGACCTCCTGGGGAGCGTCCACTTCGGTGACCTCCTGGGGAGCGTCCCCTTCGGTGACCTCCTGAGGAGTGTCCCCTTCGGTGACCTCCTGGGGAGCGTCCCCTTCGGTGACCTCCTGGGGAGCGTCCACTTCGGTGACCGCCTGGGGAGCGTCCCCTTCGGTGACCTCCTGGGGAGCGTCCACTTCGGTGACAGCCTGGGGAGCGTCCTCTTCGGCGACGTCCTCTTCGGCGACTGCCTGGAGGACGTCCTCGACGACGGCCTGGGAGGCGTCTCCTTCGGCGACGGCCTGGAGGACGTTCTCGGCGACGGCCTGGGAGGCGTCTCCTTCGGCGACGTCCTGGGGGGCGTCCCCTTCAGCGACCTGTGGGGTGTCCCCTTCAGCGACGGCCTGGGAAGCGTCCCCTTCAGCGACGGCCTGGGAAGCATCCCCTTCGGCGACGGCCTGGGAAGCGTCCCCTTCGGCGACGGCCTGGGGAGCGTCCCCTTCGGCGACGGACTGGGGAGCGTCCTCTTCGGCGACGGCCTGGGGAGTGTCCCCTCCGGCAACCACCTGGGAAGCGTCCCCTTCGGCGACCGCGTGGGGAGCGTCCCCTTCGGTGACCGCCTTGGGAGGGTCATCTACATGGGGGCAGGGGGCCAGGCGCTTGGCGAGACTTGCCAGCGACTTGGCACAAAAATTATGCAAATTTGTCAACGTTTCTGTATTGAACGATTCTTTTGCAAAGAATATTTTGAAGTCGAACAACTCCAATGGAGGATACACGACATATTCAAATTTATCATAACCTTTCTTA